ACGAATTGACTGCTATTGGAGATCAAATTGCTCAAGAGGAACCCGAGGGACTGGGACTGAAGGAACTATGGGAACCATCAATACGGAAACGTATCATTATTGCTATGGTGTTCCAGCTCAGTCAACAAGCCACGGGTATCAACCCGATCATGACTTACGGTTCCCTTATCTTCAAGGACATCACGGGTGCCGGTATATACGCTTCTCTTCTTCTGAGTGGTGTCAACTGTTTGAGTACTTTACCGGGGTTGTTCATGTTGGACAAGTTTGGTCGTCGTCAAATGGCGTTAATCGGTGCGATTGGAATGTTCGCTGGTCACCTCATTGCCGCAGTTTTATTTACTGCGATATGCAATGGCAACGTCGACAATGCAGGCTGTCCTGAGGTTGGCGGCTGGTTCATTTGCATTGGCACGGCATTCTTCGTCTTCAGCTTCGCTGTATCATGGGGTGCAGTACCTTGGATTTACTGCTCCGAAATTTTCCCAATGAACGTCCGAGCAACGGCTGTGTCTCTATCAACGGCTGCCAATTGGATTGGAGGAGCCCTCATGACGGAGGTCGTGAAGCTCTTTCCATATCTGAACATTAACGGCGTCTTCTTCATGTTTGCAGGACTGAGTATATGCTGTGGATTGTTTGTGTATTACTGGTGCCCTGAGACCAAGGGTTTGTTGCTTGAAGACATCGAAGAGCTGTTTCACGCAGGCGCTAGCGGCAAGTCTCCTTCATACGTTGAAGCCAAGTCACCAGTCGTTGTGGCGTAGGACCCACACTTACATGTATTGTATGTATTGTATTCTATGAAATTCATTTCATAGAATACAATACAGGGTCCCCTCTCCCTCTCATCAACCAAAGTATGTCTCAATTCCCCAGATTCGCTTGATTATCTTGACTCGAAAACTCACTGAGCAATATAACAACCCAACTAAAACCCATGCAACCCCCACCGCGTTTTTGCTTTTTAATTTGACTGTCCTAATACTAGTAAGAGATGGGCTTCTTTTCGAGTACTAAGAGCGATGTCCAAGTAAAAGAGTAATTACTTATTGGCTACACGACTTATATGAGGCTAAAAAAAGTCGTCTCCAGAAGTCATCTCGATGTCCAAACGCTATGAGACGATTTATCGATGGACCTATCGAATGGCATGGCGGCGGCATGATGGGTTCAACGAGTATACAACCTTGATGGATAGGTGCTAGAAGAACAGTTAGTTTCCCTTTGAAAAGCAGTGCGTGCACTGTGATTAGTGAACCTCGCCCCCATTCTTCCTTCAGACCGTACGAAGCATGCCACCAACACTTTGGCAGTTCGCCACAGGCAAAGAGGACGTTGGTTCTGCCTACAGACGCTACAAACCGGCTTCAAAGAGACGGTGCCACGTCGTCTCCAGCTTCGGCTGGGTTGCCATCCTACTACAAGGAGTAGGAAGAGATTCAGAAGACAAAGGCTCCGCAGAACAAGTTCCGCATTCTATAGCTACACCATATACTGTGCCAGCGACACCTGAAAGGACGTCCAAGAAAAACAGAAGTCCCAGCCGGAGGGCCGCTGAGGCTGAAGCCTTGTCGTGTGCTATCACCGACAGCACTGCCCCAGGTCCAAAAGACGAAACGAAAACGAGATGTCCTTCAAACCAAGAGCAAGTCTACAACAGCAAATATCGCTTCAGATGACCTCACCCACAAGACGAAGAAGCCAAAGACTTCTGCTACTTCGCGCAAGACAAAACCGGCCAAGTCGTCCCACGCTAAGCAAAATGAAGCAAAAAAGAATACGGAGCTCAGGAAACCAAGATGCTTCCTGAGCTCCCTATGATTTTTTTGTTTCCTGCACTGGACGGTCTAACTAGCTGCTCTAGGTATCGAGGCTCGGAACAAAAACCAACATATCTTGGCAAAGTTTGCGGGAAAAACGACCGACATAAAAATATTCCGGGCAATATGGGAGGACACCATCAATGGTTTCCAGGAGTGTGCGTTGCAGAAGCGTGCTTGGGGAAACAATGGACTTCGCAAGATCTCTGTAAAGCGGTTCAAGAATAACCCTTGTAAAAACAATCGATCTGGCTACAAGGAGATACGTACGCAAATGCTGGCGACAGGGAACAAAGTCCAGGAAAGCAGCAGTGAGATGCATCTGTCAGTGAATCACCGGAGCTCAAGTAAAACTCACCGCGTCAAATGAGACCGCAAACGCGACACAGCAAGCCACAACCGAAGCACTACTTCATAGCATTTGTGGTCTTCACCAAATTACCCAAAAACTCTAGATGGAAATGACGACCGCAGGTTGTCGTTCACACATTCATTAGTCTGATCTGCCAGGACAGGAAAGAATCTTCGTGTGCTACGTCCATTTTTACGCGTTATTGCGCTCGTTGAAACGATCAGTGTACATGTTTCGTTTCGCAATCGCCAAGTCAACTTCTCCTTGTCTTCTGTCCCAGTTCTAGTTGAACGCTGCCATCCCTTTCCTTGAATCGTTTATTGCCCGCTTCGGTGCTTCAATATATTTCGCCCCACCAAACGTTTTGTCGCGTATTTTAATGAGAATATTATGCAGCACAGTTGCAGAACCGATCATCCTAGCATTCGTTTCATGTCCACGCCGATCGGTGACTCCATGAGGCACTTTAAAGCGTGCTTTTAGTTTTCCAAAAATGCGTTCAACAGTGATTCGTGTCTGTGAAAGATGGTAGTTGAACCTGCAAACAATTCAATTACACAAGCTTTTCACGCAACAAAAATAGAGCTTACCATCGCTGTATTCTCGTTAAACGCCAGTTACCGCGCTCGTCGAACGGTACCATTAAAAAGGCCATAACGTGAAGCCAGCATCACCCAGCCAATTCACTCCAGGAGAGATAATATAACGAGCCGAGCACCAAGTACTCCAGATTGACTGGTCCGAGTTACTTCCACTGAAAACTCCAATGGACCGGAACTTATAGCGGTAATCAGTCGCAGCCAACCAGTAGTACGCCCTTGTCATAAAATCCCTAAAAGGATTGAAGACAACTTAATCACACATTGGAGTCAGCGAAAACATTACGTAGCATTCTACCTGGAAATCGTTGGGCCTTCTAATACGTATGAGAGTACCATCACGTATGCATGTCGCGTCTGGAAAACCAACACCTCTTTCAGCAAAACCCTCCATCAATGACTCCCATTCATCTTCTGCAGAAGGTGACGGAAAGTAAATCTCGTCGTCCAGCATTCCGTATAATAGTTTTTCGAGTCGCGTTATGTAGCGGCTTGCCACATGTCGAGTCATCCCAAGCTGTGATGCAGCGCCTCCGATACCATCGACATCATGTCCGCATCCGTTTCCGTAGTAGGTTAACAAGTTCGCAAGTCCCCAGTCCAAAATGTACTGCAAGTTTTTCCCTGGTAGTCGTATTTCCGGTAATCCAATGGCTCCAATAGCAGGCAAAGCGCATCAAAACGAGTCTGGCGAACAGCGAAGAGTCTTGCAATAAGCCTTAGCCGATCTATGCGCTATCAACTTCGCGTTGAAGTCCGATCTGATTGCAATTCTTTCTCTAGGAGAAGCACGAAGCGATCTCCAATCTAGTGTGCAAACGTTGCACCAATCATGATGGACAACAGGAAAAGGGCTGCGATGATATCGTCTTCAATGTCTTCTTCGGCATCTCCTACATTCACGTAGCCAGAAACGCTCATCTTAACGTCAACAGAACAAACATCCTTTCAACTGGTCAAATCTCACCTTGCGGCACAGCCTCTTCCACTACAAGGGGCGTTGTACGAACAGATAGCCTTCGTCGACATCCATGGTAGTCTCCTCAGCCTCTGGGGGCTCATCTGGATGGTCTGGTATCGCGGCGGTGGTGTCGTTCAATGCGGCTTCCATCAACTCCATCCTCTTGATATCCTGTCCTTCTAAAACTAAGTTGTCTCGTATCGAAAAAAGTGGTCCCTGGCCACCTTTTTTCTGACTTATAAGCAGGGAAATCTCCCACCGACTTTTAAATAATGATCATTTTAGGAAATATGTTGGAGTAAAAAGTCCTTACTATTATGACCTAGACATCGCTTTAAGAGAGACTTATCCAGGAAGATGGTAGGGTATCTCTCGACTGGGATAGCCGTTTCAAATTCACAAAAACTGATGGAGTTACCAACTTGTAAGTGTACGAAAATATCGCATTATGGATAACTCAATCTCCTACAACCTGCTTCGCAGCCACAACATCTGTGCCAGAAGCCATCTAGCTCAGCTCCCACCAAGTACATGTACCCTGCCACTAAACACCACTAGTTTAGTAAAAAATACCATTTCAAAAGAAGAGACATTAGATGCCTGCACGACCCACATACAAGGGCATAGCACTAAACTAAAAGCGGATATTCGAGACAAGACGTACTCTACATCCTTTGAGTTCGTGATCTAAACTTTCCACATCCATAAGAGGACACACTATTATTTCGAAATTATATCTTACTTTTGCAGACAATGAATTACTTACATACTAAAGTGATGCTGCGGCGTCTTCATCTGTCCTCCAACCGACCCAAAAATGTACATGCCTTGAACATACTGAACTAGTAATGAGATCGTGTCTTGTCAACCTCGTCCAGTCAACCTGCGTTTAAACTTTTGAATTTCGCTAACTTGGTCAAACAAATCACTACCTGGCGTCAGTAACTGGCTTCAGTAACTATTACCACATTAATCGGACTGTTTATCCGGGCGACAAAAGTTTCGGGGGAAGTCGAAGTTCGTATCGATATTTTAATAATAAAGAAAGCGTGATCTTATCAAACAAAGAAGCGGGGTCGCGGGGCGTTGGGCTAGGCGTCGCGGGAATGTGTTACTGGCGGCGGAGCTGTTGCTAGGATGTTTCTTGCTACTTGGAGGATGAATTGATAAGTGAGATTAATGAGGCTGGTTAAATTTGCTAGCACGCGTTGGGGACATGCAACAAGAATCATGTTGTAACGGGCCAGGTATTTAGCGTTACTAGCTTACACGTAGCGATGAGGAAGCTCGCAATAACAGAACAAGTATTGTGGCGTGTCGTGATACTCGTGAATGATCCGTGCGCGAAGATCGTTGTCATTTGGAACTACCACTCGAAGAGCATCGAATCGGTCGATGGCATACGTCAAAAAGGAGCCGTCAAGGTGATGCCGCTCGATATGACTGCGAGTCGCGCGCGATAGAGCTTTCAATGACGCATCGCTGGGCGAGCGAAGGTGCGTCAGGATACCGGTATATTGCTCGTCATATTCGTACGCGGCGGCAATCTCTTCTCGCAGTGACAACTCGGGGGTGACGCTCGTCAGCTTCAGTCCGGACGCGACGCATGTCGCGCATGAGTCCTCTTCATCTTCGACAACGGCCGGACGCCCAAGACCCTCGCGCGGGTCATAGACTGGACGCCGAGACAGCGTGTCGGCGAGAATATTGTTTTTGCCAGGCTTGTAATGCACCACGAAGTTGTACTCGGAGAAGAACGATAACCAGCGAGCCATGCGCTGGGACAAGTGGGGGGACTTCATCGCGGTTCGCAGCGATGCGTGATCAGTGTAAACGGCGAACGTCTGCTCTCCAAGCAGATAGACCCTGAACTTAATCAGCGCGTAGTGCATGGCGAGGAGCTCTTTGTCGTGTACGGGATAATTCCGCTCCGCCGGTTTCAACTGGCGGGACTGGTTGCTGATCACTCGTTCTCGATCCTCATCATCGAATTGCATCAGGGCGCTCCCGATGGCGAAGTCGCTCGCATCGAACACGACGTGGAATGGCTTCGATTCGTCCGCCACCATCAACACAGGTGCGGACGACAGGCTCTTTTTCGCCGAGTCAAAGACGTTCGGGTTCCCATACCCACGGCGTGTCTTTCTTCAACAAGGACGACAACGGCTGGATGAGCTTGGCGTAGTCTTTCGTGTACTTGTGGAGGTAGTTCGCCCGCCATCCCCCGCCACTGTCGTAGCTCAGTGGGGTTCGTCGGAGTTGGCCAAGAACAGATCGACGCAATTTTCTCAGGAGTCCGTTCTTGCTCACATAGCAGCCCAACACCGGAATCTCCGGAGCACAGAAGACACACTTCTTCAAATTCGCGTAGAGCTTGTTCTCCCGCATCACTTGGAAGACCTGCTTCAAGTGTCGCAGATGGACTTCTAGCGCGCTGACGTTGCCTTCAGCGCCACTGAGAACGAAGATATCATCGAAGTAACTCGGTGCGAAATCGCGAAGAGGACG